AGGACTAAATTTAAAAACAAATTAAAAAAATCAAATGATCAGGGATGAAATTGAAAATAACATCTAATTAGAAACAATTAATGTAAATAAAACAATTGCAAATAAGAGAAGAGGGAGTTAATCAAAAGAAAAAATAAAATGAAGGGCTGGTATAAACTTTTGCATGGCCAGCACGCAATCCGAGAAAGAAAAGAATGAAAGAGAGAAAAAACAATTTTGGGCAAAATCATGTTGAACCACCATATATGCACCACCTATAGAGGAAGAGGATGCCGAGATGAATCAAATAATGCAGGGAAATCACAGTTATAACTGGCAAAGCTAGCTGCCCACGTCGCTAGAAGGCGGCGGAGTGGTTAACACGTGCGAGGCAGGTGTCAACAACCTTTTCTTTTCTTTTTTTTCAATGCAAAAACTGAAAATGCCCTTAGGACCAAAGAATACTAATAAACAAACCATGATGGAATTACAACAAAGCCCCTGAAGATAAGGCTAAAAAATTCAAATTGTAAGGGTTATCTAGTATTTCAATTGTTCCATAAAATACAAAAACGCTTTTATGTAGAAGACATTGGATTATTTTATTAAAGGGTTATATTAGTAATTTTACTATGCATTTAGAGTGTTATGTGTCTTGGGACACAATAAAACCATAGGAGAATTAGTGTGACTGTTGTAGGTTTCCTATTTTAATTTTTCAGTGGCCACAGACATTCAAAAAGAGCATATATTGACATTGAAAAAATGAAATTGGTTCTCTTGTTTTGCAGTTTTGTTGGTGGTTCTATGCCATTTTTTTGGGAATGGCACCGGCATGTTCTGATGGAATTTCATGAGTCCCCATGCATTTGTTATTGACTGACTGTTGAATAGATTGAATCAATGTGTGTGACTATTAATTCGAAGCACTGATTTTTGCGTGCTATCTCAGGGTCATAAGGATTTCTCCTTTTGCAAATCGCTTATCATTTGATGTTCCTCCAGCTGTTCAACGGCTTAGATGTTTGGCAAATTATGAAGCTTTAAGGTTTTCAAATCCCATATTAACTATGGGAGAAACATTGGTTGCGAGAATGAAAGAACGCAGTGCGAGCCATGGTGGAAAGTATGTTTCTGTCCATCTTCGCTTTGAAGAGGTTAGTTGTCATTAAATTAGCAGTGTTTCAATGCTAGATTTTGTTTACTATTACTGCTAACAATGTTTTTTTTTTTTAATGCTAAATCTTAAAATTGGTTGAAAATTCATGTTTACAGGACATGGTTGCTTTCTCATGCTGTGTATTTGATGGTGGAGGGCAAGAAGCTAAAGACATGAAAGCAGC